GATCTGTGGGTCTCTGCGTGTATGTTGAACTTCTTTCTCACCGTACGTAGCAAACCGTGCTGATCTGTGGGTCTCTGTGTGTGTTGAACTTCTTTCTCACCATACGTAGCCAACCGTGCTAATCTGTGGGTCTCTGTGTGTATGTTGAACTTCTTTCTCACCGTACGTAGCCAACCGTGCTAATCTGTGGGTCTCTGTGTGTGTTGAACTTCTTTCTCACCGTACGTAGCCAACCGTGCTAATCTGTGGGTCTCTGTGTGTATGCTGAACTTCTTTTGCACCGTACGTAGCCAACCGTGCTGATCTGTGGGTCTCTGTGTATGTGTGTATGTTGAACTTCTTTCTCACCGTACGTAGCCAACCGTGCTAATCTGTGGGTCTCTGTGTGTATGTTGAACTTCTTTCTCACCGTACGTAGCCAACTGCGCTGATCTGTGGGTCTCTGCGTATGCATGCTGAACTTCTTTTGCACCATACGTAGCAAACCGTGCTGATCTGTGGGTCTCTGTGTGTATGCTGAACTTCTTTCGCACCGTACGTAGCTAACTGCGCTGATCTGTGGCTCTCTCTGTGTGTGTGTATGCTGAACTTCTTTCTCACCGTACGTAGCCAACCGTGCTGATCTGTGGGTCTCTGTGTGTATGTTGAACTTCTTTCTCACCGTACGTAGCCAACCGTGCTAACCTGTGGGTCTCTGTGTGTGTATGTTGAACTTCTCTCTCACCGTACGTAGCCAACCGCGCTGATCGGAGGTGCGACCAAAACGTACAAACCCCGTCCCGAGCCCGGGAGTCGAACCCCCGCGCCCTCCCTTGCTGCGAGGCTCAAGCGTCACCGCTGCATTGCCACGGGGCTGGCGGGGGCTGCGTGGGGAGGGCGCCATTTGATGTCGGTACGTAACATTCACGGGGGGGGGGGGGGGGGGGGAGGAATAAAGCCGGCTTGTGAGAGATTTTTTTTTTACGATCCGCACGGAAAAACCCCGCGGGACCGCGTGGACGCACGGAACGCGGAGAACGGCGGCCCCTGTGGCGGCGGATGGCGAACAATGTTCTGGCCTGTAACCCCCCCCCCCACCACCCCCCCCCCCCCGACGGTGGCGGCACAACCACCAACACCGACCCCCTCCCCCATCCTCTCCGCCCCCCCCCCCACCCCCCACCACCACCAGAGTTGGCATCACCGGTTCTCAACCCTCCTCCTCAAGGTGCCCGGAATTATCGGCAGAGGCCGGGACCCAGGGCAGTCGTTCCACCCCCACCCCCCCCCCTACCGGGCGAATCGAGGCGACCGGCCCCGGGCCCCTCGCTTTGGGGGATGCGGGGCGAGGGCGGTGCCCGGGGCCCCTCGTGCTTCAACGTCACGGAGTCAGATGTAAATACTTTCCGCTTTAGTTTGAAGGTGGTGGTGGGGGGCACCCCCCCCCCACCGCCCCCACTATGGGCGGACCTGGCCTGCGATGTGCGCGAGCGCTTCCTCGGACGTTACCTGTGCAGGAGAATCCCTCCCCCCCCCCCTCCCCTCTTCACGACGGTGATTTTGGTTCCATGAAACCGGTCGTTAAGCGATTTGGGTCGTTAAGCGAGCGTAAGAAATTGCATGTTGAAGGCTGAATTCGTTCCGATAGCGTCGAAAGTTATCCCCTTTTTCACCCAGAAAACGCACTTTAGAATATTTAAACAATGGATATTAATACATGAAGATACTAACATTGCAACCAGGTAATATTAAAATAAACACGGTTAATCAACGCATTAATTAATATTTACTGTACCTACGACAGCCCGTCGTTAACAGGGGAACGATCAGTAAGCGACCACATTGGGCTCTAAGGAGGCACTACACTATACACTACACTACTATCACTACACTATACACTACACTACTATACACTACAATATACTACACATCGGGCTCTATGGAGGCCTGTCGTTAAGTGATTAGTCGTTAACAGGGGTGGTCGTAAAGGATGTCACCCATAGTGTGAGTGTAATTATTACCATTGCCCTGTCCTGAAGTCTGACTGGATGTCACCCGTAGTGTGAGTGTAATTATTACCATTGCCCTGTCCTGAAGTCTGACTGGATGTCACCCATAGTGTGAGTGTAATTATTACTATTGCCATGTCCTGTAGTCCGACTGGATGTCACCTGTAGTGTGAGTGTAACTATTACTATTGCCCTGTCCTGTATTCTGACTGGATGTCACCTGTAGTGTGAGTGAAATTATTACTATTGCCCTGTCCTGGAGTCTGACTGGATGTCACCTGTAGTGTGAGTGTAATTATTACTATTGCCCTGTCCTGAAGTCTGACTGGATGTCACCTGTAGTGTGAGTGTAATTATTACTATTGCCCTGTCCTGGAGTCTGACTGGATGTCACCCGTAGTGTGAGTGTAATTATTACTATTGCCCTGTCCTGAAGTCTGACTGGATGTCACCTGTAGTGCGAGTGTAATTATTACTATTGCCCTATCCTGTAGTCTGACTGGATGTCACCTGTAGTGCGAGTGTAATTATTACTATTGCCCTGCCCTGTAGTCTGACTGGATGTCACCCGTAGTGTGAGTGTAATTATTACTATTGCCCTGTCCTGTAGTCTGACTGGATGTCACCTGTAGTGTGAGTGTAATTATTACTATTGCCCTGTCCTGAAGTCTGACTGGATGTCACCTGTACTGCGAGTGTAATTATTACTATTGCCCTATCCTGTAGTCTGACTGGATGTCACCTGTTCTGTGAGTGTAATTATTACTATTGGCATGTCCTGTATTCTGACTGGATGTCACCTTTAGTGTGAGTGTAATTATTACCATTGTCCTGTCCTGAAGTCTGACTGGATGTCACCTGTAGTGCGAGTGTAATTATTACTATTGCCCTATCCTGTAGTCTGACTGGACGTCACCTGTACTGTGAGTGTAATTATTACTATTGCCATGTCCTGTAGTCTGACTGGATGTCACCTGTAGTGTGAGTGTAATTACTACTATTGCCATGTCCTGTAGTCTGACTGGATGTCACCTGCACTGTGAGTGTAATCACTACTATTGCCATGTCCTGTAGTCTGACTGGATGTCACCTGTACTGTGAGTGTAATTACTACTATTGCCATGTCCTGTAGTCTGACTGGATGTCACCTGTAGTGCGAGTGTAATTATTACTATTGCCATGTCCTGTAGTCTGACTGGATGTCACCTGTAGTGCGAGTGTAATTATTACTATTGCCCTGCCCTGTATTCTGACTGGATGTCACCTGTACTGTGAGTGTAATTATTACTATTGCCATGTCCTGTAGTCTGACTGGATGTCACCTGTAGTGTGAGTGTAATTACTACTATTGCCATGTCCTGTAGTCTGACTGGATGTCACCTGTACTGCGAGTGTAATTATTACTATTGGCATGTCCTGTAGTCTGACTGGATGCCACCTGTAGTGTGAGTGTAATTACTACTATTGGCATGTCCTGTAGTCTGACTGGATGTCACCTGCACTGTGAGTGTAATTACTACTATTGCCATGTCCTGTAGTCTGACTGGATGTCACCTATACCGCGAGTGTAATTATTACTATTGGCATGTCCTGTAGTCTGACTGGATGTCACCTGCACTGTGAGTGTAATTACTACTATTGCCATGTCCTGTAGTCTGACTGGATGTCACCTGTACTGTGAGTGTAATTATTACTATTGGCATGTCCTGTAGTCTGACTGGATGTCACCTGTACTGCGAGTGTAATTATTACCATTGCCCTGTCCTGTAGTCTGACTGGATGTCACCTGTACTGTGAGTGTAATTATTACTATTGGCATGTCCTGTAGTCTGACTGGACGTCACCTGTAGCGAGTGTAATTATTACCATTGGCCTGTCCTGTAGTTTAGAAACATGCTATACATTTCCACTTGATGATGATAAGCCACTTTGTTGAGCTATCATTTGTGATAGCCAGGTCGCTTCTGAAAAAAAAGCTACCGGCTCGGTGGGCATTACCTGGTAAAATAAATAAAATAGTTTTAGTTTAGGCCGTACGTATGCTGGACTTCTTTCGCGCAGAACGTAGCCAACCGCGCTAATCGGAGGTGCGCACGCGGGGGAAGGACAACAAACTGAACGCACGTGCAACGCACAAGCGCCCGAGCACAAAAACACAGTGCCGAGCCTACACTCTGCGCTTGGGAACGCGGTCTTTTCATGGCGGGCGTCCGAAACCTGGCCTCGAACCCAGCGGCTCAGTCCCGGCCATTGCGAGCCCCCCACCCCCCCGAGCCCTACTGCCAAACCCGAAGCCACCCCCTCCGCCCCCCACCCCACCCCGCCCCTACCCTAACCTCCCCACACCCTCACCCAGCTCTCATCACAAACAATGTTTACCTTCGACAACAACAAAAAAAACAAAGATCCCCCGTGTATCCCACGCAGGCTGTCGAGGCAAGTGCTGTTAGCAAGGCCGGCACGGCGCAGGAGGGGGTGGGCGTGGCTAGTAACCGCTAATCGACCCATTAAAGACGAAGATACTCTATGCATAGCCTTAACGCATTGAGCGGAAATCAAACCCTGGTCGCCCGGATTCGTAGCGCAAACGCGCTTACCGCAACACTAATTACCGTTCCCCATATACAAAGATACAGATTCTCCCCCGTATAGCCCGAACAGACTGTTGGGGCAAGTGCTGTTAGCGAGCGTCTATGGAAGGCCGGCACGGCACACGAGGGGGTGGGGGGCCGGCACACGAGGGGGTGGGGGGCCGGCACACGAGGGGGTGGGGGGCCGGCACCACGCCAGACCGCACGAGGTACTCATTTGAGTCGATCTACGTGGAGGCCCAGGACCGGTTCGGACATTTCGTCACCGGTGTTGGGCGCGAGCGGGAATGGCATTCAGGTCGCCGGCTTCATACTGCGGCACTGCAACCCCTAACCGCGACCGCTCCCACATATACAAACACACAAGCATGCACGCACACACCGAGCCAAATCCGCACCACCGCCACCCCGAACTTCTCACCAAACAAGAACGATCGCGCCCTTCTGCTTTTCGCGGCAACGCCGGCGATACGGACATCATCCCTGCCGGCGCCGGTGCCCTCATCCGCCGCCGCCGCCGTGTTCAGGTTCGACGGGCAGCTCTCTCTCCGGCGCACGACTCCCTTGAGCTCCACGCTGGGCACGGGAGCCGGCTGCCCCGGGCCGTCCAGCGACCCGCCTAACCCCTTGGAGAAAAACACCCGCTTGACCGCGGCCATGCCGTCGCCGGATCGTCTCTCCCGGGTTTTTACTTTTCTTTTAACCACCGGATCGTCTTCGGATTCACAGTCTCGCCATCGCCTCTTGGGTTTCGCCGGGTTTGCCGTTGCTCGGCATTCCTTTCCAGCTCTCCGCTCCGCTCCCTCGCTCGCTCACTCCCCCCCCACCCCCCCCCCACCCTGACGACGATGGTAAAAATTCCAGTGGGCCAAGATCTGGCAAACGATTCGGGCGACGCTTTCGCCCCAAAGCGAGGACGCGTCCGGCTAAGCCACCTCTATGAAGGAGGCGCTGCCAAATTTTTCGGCCCGTACCCAGCCACGCTGCCACGGCGCCACGGCGAAGACTGCAAAGCCAGTTGGCGACGATTAATATCCTTCTTGATTATTGTTGTTGTTGGTGGTGGTGGTGAAAGTTTTGTTGGGCTGACAGGAAGCCCTACGGCCACGCGACTAACCGCCCAGCAAACTTTCTCCCTTTGCCAAAGGGAGGCTTTTTTCATCCAAGCATGTGCCACCCGCCGGGTGCTACCACTACGAGCGTTTTAAGAAGGGTTTTTTTTTCTTTCCCCAACACTGTGCGGGGCAGGGGGGGGATGGAAAAGTGGTTTGTGCCACTTTCCAAAATTACGTAGGGGTGTTGGGATTGACATTCCGGATGAATGTGGTGATGCGTGTGATTTACAAGGCTATGTTGCATCTTCTCTAAAGAATAAATGTTCGTGGCTTATATATTTATTTGGAATTTTACTTGTTTTTAACTAAACTAAGTAGCAGGTGAAGTCAAGGTCAAAGCGAGTTCCTGCTTAAACGTGAGCTGTTGAGACATAGGTGTTCTGCGCAGGCCTCAGCCAGTAGTGTAAATTCCGCATTTCTATGACGGGATCGAGCCAGACCAGTTAGGGGAGTTCAGTTCAGATATAATTAGCCACCCATCGGAATCAGAATCTTTATTTATCCCTGGAGAAATACGATGGGCTATGAAGCTCTTTTCCACAGACGTCCAATACTTCACAGATGATGATGATGATGTTGGCCGTGGCAGCGAATTAAATTCGGCTCGCCGAGTTCGTAGCGCGGCGCGCTATGAACATTTTGCCGCCGTTCCACCCACGCACACATTGCTCGAATTCTAGATTATAATTCATTCATTCGCGTGTAGATAAATGCCGAGTGCCGAGTATCAAAATTAATCGTCAGATGATAAACACCTCCTTCCCACATCCGTCTCGCCACGTTAAAAAATGTTAACTTTTTTCTTTACACACAACCCATCAGCAACACGGCCTTCTGGGACCGAATTTTTTTTTTAGCAAGCTAAACTCTGGACAAGTTTCGATATGCAGTGTCTCATCAGCAGCAGTCAAGCTCTGCTTGAGCCATTTGCTGGTCAACTTCCAGATGTTATAGGCGAGGACCGGTTTCGACATTCAGTGTGTCATCAGCAGCAGTCAAGGCTCACTAGAATAAATTAATATTTTTATTTACCATTTTTATTTTACCAGGTAAAGGCCTCCTTGAGCTATGAAGCTCTTTTTCAAAAGCGATCTGGCCACCACAAATGATAGCTCAACAAAATGGCTTATCACGTGAAATTGTACAGCAGCCAAATACTCTAAACGCGTGATGTGGATTTCTTAATGCGGAGGGGAAAAACCGGAGGACCCGGAGAAACATCCACGCGACCACGGGGAGAGAGAGAGAGAGAGAGACACACCGCAGACTCCAAATATAAAGCAGACGTCGGGGTCGGCATTGAACCCACGACCTCCTGTAGACCAGGCGAGGTAGTTAACATCTCACCACGGAGAGAGAGAGAGAGACAAGCAAACTACAAATATTCAGCAGGCGTCATGGTCGGGATCGAACCCACGACCTCCTGTAGACCAGGCGAGGTAGTTAACATCTCACCACGGGGACAGAGAGACACGCAAACTCCAAATATACAGCAGCAGGCATCGTCAGGGTCGAGATTGAACCCACGACCTCCTGTACACCAGGCGAGGTAGTTAACATCTCACCACGGAGAGAGAGAGAGACACGCAAACTCCAAATATACAGCAGCAGGCATCGTCAGGGTCGGGATCGAACCCACGACCTCCTGTACACCAGGCGAGGTAGTTAACATCTCACCACGGAGAGAGAGACACGCAAACTAAAAATATACAGCAGGCGTCAGGGTCGGGATCGAACCCACGACCTCCTGTAGACCAGGCGAGGTAGTTAACATCTCACCACGGAGAGAGACACGCAAACTAAAAATATACAGCAGGCGTCAGGGTCGGGATCAAACCCACGACCTCCTGTACGCCAGGCGAAGTAGTTAACATCTCCTAGCCACCGCGGCAATACTCGCGAGCTGCCAGATGTGTCTAGCCAAGGGCCCTCTCCGTTCGACAAGGCTCCCACTTCGACACAAAAGCGTACGATTCGCAACACCAAAAAAATCATTATGGGGTTTTGTCGTGCACAATGTATATATACAGGGTGTCCCATAAATATGGAATCATCTGGGAAAAATAACTCAATCATATATTTCTGTTTTTTCTGCAGGCCGAAGATGTCTCCGAGTAAGGAAGAACGAGTCCAGCTAATTCTACTCGTTGGAGATCGGAGACGGAGGGAGTTCGCTGTTGAATTTAACAGACTGCATCCAGACCGCAGGCCAATAAACACAGAGCTGTGTTAGCAAACTTGTTGCACAGTTTAGGGTAACGGGATCCATACGAGATAAGCCACGCAGCGGAGCCTCGAGGAGTTGTGCATCAGGAGCAACGGTGGACACATTTGAGCACGTTGTGTGAATAAAAGCGTTATTATTGCCTTCTTTTGAGTTATTTTTCCCCGATGGTTCTGGACTTATGGGACACCCTGTGTAACCACCGCTGAGAGAGCATCCCCACCGGGTGCGCTGCTGTGCACTCCCCGTTTCCTGATTGTGCAAACGATTGCCCAAGGAGAGCTCGCAAATCTTTCCCAATATTCGACGGTTTCCAAACAAACCCCTCCCCCCCCCGCCCGCTGCCCCCTCTCTTCTGCTCCTTGAAGAAAACAACAGTCGGAGGGAGCGATCTCCTGCCGCTCAACCGAGCTACTAAAGGCACCGGGTGCCCATTTACAGCTCTGATTGGGCCAGTGGTGGAAATTCCACATTCCCACGACCAAGGGGGAGGGGGGGGGTGGCTGGCAGGGGGGGGGCAGGCGAGTCTATCCGTAGGACAACCGCTTAACACGTACGCTGTCGCGACCAATATCACCCATAAGAGGGTTTTTTTTGGGTAGGATCGCGTATAAATATATAAATGTTGTCGTTGGAGATTGTAAATGTTGTGGCGTGGCTCTCCAACACACCGGTGTGCTGTACTAGTACACTGCACTATACACTACTATACACTACACTATACACTACACTATACACTACACTATACACTACACTATACACTACACACTACTATACACTACACTATACACTACACTATACACTACACTATACACTACACTATACACTACACTATACACTACACTATACACTACACTATACACTACACTATACACTACACTATACACTACACTATACACTACACTATACACTACACTATACACTACTATACACTACACTATACAGTACACTATACACTATTATACACTACACTATACACTACACTATACACTACTATACACTACACTATACACTAGTGCTGTACTAGTGACGAATTGGCCACATTCTGTTTACGTGACAACCCTTACTAGCTGGCTGTGTCGGGTGGTGGCGGGTTTTACTGACACATTTATTTATTTATGCGATCCAACCCCCCAAAAAACCCTCTATTATGGAGGCAAGCCGCTGTTGACGTATACCAACCCCGTCCCCGCGATCACGGGGAGAACATGCAAACTCCAAATATACATGCGTCAGGGTCGGTGTCTATCTTTGTGAGACTATGTGTCAGTTTAACACGTAGGCTTTCGCGACCAATATTATTCATAATAAAGGTTTTTGGGTTAGATCGCGACTATGTGTGTCTATGCGGGTCTATCAATTCCCTGTATACATCGATGAGCATCTATGCGAGTCTGTAATGTAAGTTTTTGGGTGTCTATGTGGTTCTCTGAATCAAAATGAATATATGGGTGTGTTTATAAGTCCATGGGTCACCATGCAAGTTTATGGGTGTCTACGTGAGTCTATGAATCTATATAAATCTATGGGTGCTTAAGTGAGTCTATGGGTCTCTGTACGAATGTATGTGCATCTATGTGAGTCTGTGCATCTCTATAAATCTATGGGCATCTTGGAAAGTCTATGGATTCTCTGTGGCAACACTCACAATCACAATAATCTATTAATAATCACGAACATTATTCATATTACTCCTTCCATTCAATGTTCCCATCTTGTTTTCAGTTTCCATCTCTTCCTTCCACCGAACATTTCCTGGTTTTGCATTGCGAGAGAAACGGACGACCCCACATAACCCGGCGTTGGTGTCAAGGGCTTCACTGTGGTGAGATGATAACTACCTCGCCCGGTATACAAGAGGTCGTGGGTTCAATCCCGACGCCTGTACATTTAGAGTTTGCGTGTCTCTCTCTCTCTCTATCCCCGTGGTTGCGTGGATTTTTCTCCGGGTACTCCGGTTTTGTCCCTCCACATTTAGAATCAACGTCATGCATTTAGAATATTTGGTTGCTGCTGTACATTTCCACGCGATGATGATGATGATGATAAGCCACTTCGTTGAGCTATCATTTGTGATAGCCAGGTCGGATTCTGAAAAAAAAGAACTGTACAACTCAAGTGGGCCTTACCCGGTAAAATAAATAGTTAACAGATTGAACCAGCAGAACTTTCTCACGCGATAAAAATAAAACGAAAAATATCTGTAAATGAAAACTGCTAATAACGCGACACACTTTCGTTTTTTGTTTAAGCGTGGAGACAAAGGTGGTGATGGGGAGAGAGTTTACGTGCACGCTCACTTCTTAGTCTGCCCAAATATATTCTCCAGTGACGGCTATTTTGCGTTACGTGTTAACGGACGGTTACGTATCACGGTTACGTATCACCAGTCCGCATATCCAAAGCGAGTCTATCGGTCTCTGCGAGAGTCTCCGGATCTCTACCGCTGGACGCCTGTGGAAGATTCTTCCGGTATGAATAAATATTCCGATTGCAAGTCTATGGGCCTACATAATTATTTTTTCGTGTGTTTCTGTGGCCGTCTGGAACGCTCTTCCTTCTGATATTAGGAAGCCACCAGAGCCATGCAATATTAAATTATCGAGAATGAAAACTTATCTCTTTAGAACCGCGTTTTGCCTTTGGTTTGTTGTCCTTACCCCCGCACCTCCGACGACCACGGTTGGCTACGCACGGTGCGAACCAAGTTCTACAAGTTAATCGTTTGGCGGGACCCCGGGGACCCGCAAAAATCGGGTCAATAATTATTATTTTTCTTCAGTCCGCCCCGCTCGTGACCCCCGACAGCAACGCGCCGCCCGCCCAGACTCGCCGCGCCAACAAGCGGCAGCAGCAGCAGCAGGCGGCGATCGACACGACGGGCGCCACCCCACCGGCCAAACGCGAGCCCCGGGGGGCGTTCGCCGCGGTCGCGCGCGGCGACGACGCCCTCCGGTCAGCCGTCGAACCTCAGCTTCTTTGCCAAGGCGAGCCCGCCCACCCCCGCAGTGAATTTAACGTGTTCATGTAATTTTTCAACTTTTTACGAAACTTAGTGCCCCGAGTAGCTCTCGACGAGGCCAATCGATTGACCGCTAGTTTTGTTGTTGTCGGTAAGGCGGCAAGACTCGTGTCGCTACGCGGTTTTTCCCACCCCGGGGCAGTGATGGGTCCCCGGGGTCCCGCCAATTGCTTCATATGTACCAACGCCGGGCACGTCTCGGATTGCTATAAATTGCGTCTCATCTCAACACAGCTGCCACTGAGGGTACCCCTAAGCAAGACCACACAGCAGCAACGTCGCCACCCTCCTGGCAGACTACCGCACAGGGACAGCTGCCACTGGGGGTGCCCCTAGGCTAGACCACACAGCAGCAACATCGCCACCCTCCTGGCAGACTAACGCACAGGGACAGCTGCCACTGGGGGTGCCCCTAGGCTAGACCACACAACAGCAACATCGTCATCCCACTGGCAGACTAACGCACAGGGACAGCTGCCACTGGGGGTGCCCCTAGGCTAGACTACACAGCAGCAACATCGTCACCCTCCTGGCAGACCAATGCACAGGGACAGCTGCCACTGCGGGTGCCCCTAGGTAAGACCACACAGCAGCAACATCGCCCCCTACTGGCAGACTGACGCACAGGGGCAGCTGCCACTGGGCTAGACCACACAGCAGCAACATCGCCCCCTACTGGCAGATTGATGCACAGGGGCAGCTGCCACTGGGGGTGCCCCTAGGCTAGACCACACAGCAGCAACATCGCCACCCTCCTGGCAGACTAACGC